TGCAAAATTTTGAATTATGTGGCCCCAGGGTCAGTGGTTCCTTTGGGGTGAGGTGCAAAACTGGTGGAAATGCATTTTCTCTTTGTTACTCTGATCAACCTTTGGGTATTAAGTAAATAGAGTAAGCATGCTAAGTTTATAATTGTGATAAGCAATGGTGCCTCTTTCAAAATTGTGAATTTCATGGCCTCTGGTTTAAAACACGAACAAATGTTAATTGTTTGAAAGTTGTTACACAATACTCAGGTGACCTATAAGGCCCGTGGGCCTCTTGTTTAATAAATGATTTTGTTATTTTCCAGTATTGTACTGCAGTATTAAATGTTCAGTGTAGGATTCCTATGAAATTTAAAGATATTTTGGAAACAGAGTTTAACTCTCTTTTTGTGTGTATTGTGTGATATAAAATTTTAAAAAGTAGAGTAATTAGGCAGCTGGATTCCCAAAGAAAAATGAAGGAAACATTTACAGAGTGAAGGAGGCTTAGATATCTACTTTTGAAGTTAAAAAGAGAAATAAATGCCTTTTTGTCAATTCTGATGTCTTATTGTTATTTTCATTGAAATACTTCTTGATGGCAGCAGTTGTTTTACTGGGCATTTCATTGCTAGGTTGAATCTTCAACTAAAACAGTGCATCCCAAATAAAATGTTATTTTGCGTCCTATTCCAGAATTTTTCTCTCAGATGAGATGTCGCCATGTACCAGTGAAAGGGTTAAAATTTTTATCTTTTCTCTGCACTCAGTAAGGGATTTTTATAGTCCTCCATAGGCAAGTATTGGCATCTCTATATGAGAAAAAAAAAACATTGAAGTGGACATTAAACGAAAGGTCTGTAGAGGGCAGTAACCTTTTTTTAAAGGGAGGGGGTATAAGTCATGAGTAAAACCTCATGCCCTGTACATATGAATTTGCATGAAATATTTTATTAACAGTAAATAATACAAGGTTAAAAAAATGCAAATTAAATTAATCCAAATTACTGTAAATGTATTTTATTTGGCGTGTACGATATTTGCATGACGGAAATTGATTTTTATACGCCCGTCTTAAGACGGGACGTATTATGTTATAGGCTTCATGTCCGTCTGTCTGTCCGTCTGTCCGTCCGTCCGTCTGTTAGCTTTTCTCGTGTCCGGCTCATAACTTGAATACTATAAGGCCTAGAGTTATCAAACTTTGTCAGCTGATACATCATGGGTAGAAGGTGTGTCGCGCACAAAAAGTAGGTCGCTCTGACCTATAATTAAAAAGTTACAGCCAAATATGGAAAAATCCTGTCCGGTCCATAACTAGAAAACTATTAGACTTAGAATCATCAAACTTGGCCACTTGATGCATCTTAGGTAGAGGGTGTGTCGCGACCTGTTTGAAGGTCACTGTGACCTTTAATTAAAGTGAAATTTAAAAAAAAAAAAGACTTTTTTTCTCTTCATTTACACACTCCAAAAAATGTAAAAGTATTGCACTATCCTTATTAGAAAAATGTTAAATCAAGAAAATACTTATTTTTTTTAGCATATACTTGACAGCAATCTATAACAAATAAAGAAATTCCACCACTCCCATGAGTTTAATTATCAAGCACTGGTCAAGAAGAATTTTGATAACAGAAAATTGCATGTCAAATTAGAGAGAGAAATTAATGAGTTTAGTGTGAGGAAGAGCATCGGTGCTATCTATATCCCTTGAGTATTGGGCCAAATGGGTAATCCTGTTGAATTAAAAATAGCTCTAGTTGGCTAGCATAAGTTTTAAAATGAATTTGATGAGAAGTAAATAAAACTAATTTGATTTTGCATAATAAACTATTTTGATATTACATAATATTATGAACTTTAAAAAACTAATTTTATGGGGGTGGGGTGGAATCAGCATGTCCATATGAATTGCATATTAAAACCTGTCTGCCATTAAATCTAACAAAAAAAAAATCATTGAGGTTTTATATGTTTTAAAAATGCTTTATGGTAGATAGTGCAGATCCAATAATCTCTTGGGAGTAATGAGTAGACAAGCATCCAGTTAAAGATTAATTAATGTGTTCAATTGTTCAATGTAGCAAGGCTATAGCTGTCTCAATCATTTCTTCAGAGCATTATCTTAACTGACAGTGTATCCTTTGGGAATTAGACAGAAGAACTGTTGGTCATTTTATATTTGATGGCCAACCTTTTATTTTCAAAATTAATTAGGTAAAGATTAGGTTGTTAAGACTAATTTGACATTGTTTAATATGATAGGCATTTGGCAAGGTCTAACACAACCAGTATAGAAATCTATGAATGATGCAATATATGTTATAATTAATGCCTACACCACAGGAGATGGATAAACAAATTTTTTAAGGAGTTGAAAAATCATGGAAATCTAAAATCAAGGTTGACATGATTTTCTTGCACTTTTAATTGTTTAAGATAATTGTAATTTTTTGACGGGCGTATCATGCTGTGGCGTGGCACTTTATTTATATTATGTTATAGGCTTCGTGTCCGTCTATCTAGCTGTCCATCCGTCCGTCTGTTAGCTTTTCTCGTGTCCGGCTCATAACTTTAATACTATAAGGCCTAGAGTTATCAAACTTTGTCAACTGATACATCTAGGGTAGAAGGTGTGTCGCGCACAAAAAGTAGGTCGCTCTGACCTATAATTAAAAAGTTATAGCCAAATATGGAAAAATCCTGTCCAGTCCATAACTAGAAAACTATTAGACTTAGAATCATCAAACTTGGCCAGTTTATGCATTTTAGGTAGAAGGTGTGTCACGACCTATTTCAAGGTCACTGTGACTTTTAATTTTAGAGAAATTAAAAAAAAACGTGTCTTATTACTATTTATTTTCATATCCTTATTAGAAAAATGTTAAATCGAGAAAATACTTATTTTTTTAGCATACAGTATACTTGACAGCAATCTATAACAAATATAATGTATGTTAGAGAAATTCCACCACTCCCATGAGTCTAATTATTAAGCACTGGTCAAGAAGAATTTTGATAACAGAAAATTGCATGTCAAATTAGAGAGAGAAATTAATGAGTTTAGTGTGAGGAGTGGCTGTAAGAGCATCGGTGCTATCTATATCCCTTGAGTATTGGGCCAAATGGGTAAGCCTGTTGGATTAAAAATAGCTCTTGTTGGCAAGCCGAAGTTTTAAAATGAATTTGATGAGAAGTAATTAAAACAAATTTGATATTGCATATTAAACTATTTTGATATTACATAATATTATGAACTTAAAAATTGATTTTATGGGGGTAGGGGTGGAATTTGCATGTCCATGTGAATTGCATATTAACAATTAACTGTCTGACATTAAATCTAAAAAAAAAAAGAAATCATTGATGTTTTATATGTTTTAAAAATTTTTTATGGTAGATAGTGCAGATCCAATAATATTTTGGGAGTAATGAGTAGACAAGCATCCAGTTAAAGATTAATTAATGTGTTCAATATAGGAAGGCTAGCTGCATGTCTCTTTCATTTCTTCAGAGCATGGTCTTATCTGTATCCTTCGGGAATTAGACAGCAGAACTGTTGGTCAGTTTATATCTGATGGCCAGCCTTTTATTTCCAAAATTAATTAGGTATAGATTAAGTTGTTAAGACTAAGTTGATATTGTTTAATATGATAGGCATTTGGCAAGGTCTAACAAAACCAGTATAGAAATCTATGAATGATGCAATATTTGTTATAATTAATGCCTACACCACAGGAGATGGATAAACAAATTTTTTAAGGTGTGTAAAAATTATTGAAATCTTAATATCAAGGTTGACATGACTTTTAACTGTTTAAGATACATTATAACTGTAATTTTTTGACGGGCGTATCATGATGTGGCGTGGCACTTTATTAACAAGATAGCGTAGATTTGATTTAGTACATTTCTTAATGTTCTTTTTCATGCATACCTGTAAATGTGCAAGTCATTTAGCAGTGTACTTGATTTAGCGGAAGTGTCTTTCCGCGAAAAGCGTGAAAAAGAATACAAAGCCAAATGTAATATGTTTACAGTACCGGTAATCACATTCAGTCACTCATATGACAGATTATGCTGAATAAACATATTTTAAAATTGTATTTTTTTTCGGTCAGACTAATTAATACACTGTAGTCTGTATCATCTTATGATGTACACATATATATTTTGAAAAATGATTTTTCCAGCATTTTTTTCAGGAATATTTACAATTTTCCCTTCTTTCCCCACCCTCTCCCACTAAAAAAAAACACTGCCTGATGTGAACAGGGTTTACATATATCAAAGTCTTCATTATAAAAAAAAAAACATGCCAATGCAAAAATGGGTTTCAAGTCCAGAAAACAGTGCATTTAAGTAAAATATATTATTAACAGTAAACCTGGTTCAATACAATTGATCTATTTGTCATCGATATCAAGAAATATACCATAAATCAGCTCATTATTTCCAAGCAAAGGAGAAAACATATATAATTATTATAAGATATTTTAAAAACTCTGCAAAAATGTCCATGTTGGAAACTACCGGTATATTATTTCTTTGATGTAAGGACAATTATGAAAAACAAAGGTTACCACTATCTTCTCATATGTTATTTCATGACAGGGGCATAAATATTCTGATTAATTATATATCAAGTGTATATATGAAGTAATGTAAAGATTTGATACGGATAAAAAATTCTAAAATTAAGTAAAATCTGCTGTAAATATGGCATAACAAAAAAACAAAAAAACAAAAAAAATTTTTCCATTGATTTTGAATATACCCAAATGACCATGTTTGTTATTCTGTGTACCAATACTGGCGATGAAAGGATTAGCTATAAAACACAGTTTGACAATTAAAAACTCTTGGGCAGTAGATAATATGATAGAAAATATCATGCTGCATGGATTGATGCCTTATTCCACTCTGATGCGAGATCTTTTTTTTTCAGAATAATTTCTGGGGATTGTTATATTTTCTGAAATTATTTATAATAGATTTTTTTTATACTTTTATTACTTTAGAAATGGCGTCCATTTATCAACTCCTTTGAAAAGAGAGTAGAAGATTTTAACTATGGTACATTACTAAGGTTAGATTGTACTAAGGACTATACGGAAGAGAACAGCATTCTGGGTAAGTGTTTGTTGCTTGTAGAAAAAGTGATATGTACTACATTGCATATCCTTTCATGTTTACAATAATCGTGGTAGAATTGAGAACAAAAGACATTTTTCATTGTACACATTATGACTTGATCAGCTTCTCACTGTGTAAAAACTGCATCATTTTTGCGAGATGACATCACATTGACAAGTGCATTGCGATCGATGCATCGTTTATATACTGTTGTGTGGGATTTAACAAAAGACAAAACTGCATGTAATAGTAAGTTTGTATGAAGTATACAGCTATCCAGATGTTTGAAAAAGCAAATAATTTCATTTTGTGGTATTTTGAAGACCTTTTTAGAAGCAGTTCTTCACCCAGGTTATCGTAAGCCTATCTGAAGGAAACTCACGTACATGAATGATATCGATGTCTCTAGTGATAGACAATACCGGACTTGCTACGGATGCTGGATCTGATCTACATTTTCCGAATTAGTGAACATGCCAAATATTTTACAGCAATTAACCGATACCCAGAAAACTTTATACCCTACCTGAATCAATCTTGCAATTTTGATGCGTCCATGAATGAACATTTCCAGACTTTATTTAGATACTGGAAATGTGTTCGTGTACATTTTCTTTATGAATGAAAATTTAAGTTTAAATTTAATGCATAACATACATTGTAGGGGTGTACACTATTTGATCTGCTTAGATGCTGGATCTGACCTACATTTGCAGGTAAATGAGTTTTAGCCCTACTCAGACTAGACTTGCATCGATGATGCATCTCCTGATAGACCATATTAAACTTGACTCGATATCTGATGATAGATTTGACCTGTATTTTCCAGATGAACGAGCAGGTTAATGTTCTTGGAGTAGATCCATTCCCATATAATGTTAAGCACTTCATTCACCTTACTCTATATGGGATCATGCATCTAGATATGCGCAATGCGCACTGCCAGATTTGCACTAGTAACGAATACTTTTACTTAAACCAAACATGCAAACTTGCTTGAATATGAGAATACGTATAATTGCACTAACTAGCTGGAAATCAATGTGGCATTTGCATTTACTAAATTTTGACTTGTATTTTTCATAGTTTGTGATCTTGCAGCCTGGATTTTATAGTGTTGTTATTTACACTTTAAGTACTTAGAATTGAATTGAATTGAACATATTTTATTGAACAAAGTCATAAGGATCGGACACAAGTTCAGTAACTTAGATAGTCCTCTCCTAATACAACATTTTGTAAAATTGCCAACTTGAAAGTAAAAAAAACAAACATATATACATATGGTCTAATACACACATTGTATACATCGTAGCTTTAGAAAGGCAAATATATATATATATTCTTTAGATGTACAGATATAATTTGAAATATTATGGAAAAAAAGTAAACTTATTTTGAAAAACGACCACATTCATTTAAGAAAGTTTGAATAGTCCTGAAAAGTTCAGCATTTTGTTCAATAGTAAGAGAATCATCGCCCCATAGCATTAAATGCACATCTATAACATGTAAATAATTAAATGACAATAGCTTATTCATTAAGGAATTTCTTGCTTTTACATATATTTACAAACAAAGAACATATGATATGCATCTTCTGGTAGTCCACAAGAACAATTAGGACTGGTTATTATATTACAGCGATATAAGTCAGATTTTAAAATACAATTATGTCTTAATCTTGTGTGAATTATGTTCAAAAAACTAATTCCATAAGAAAAATATTTTGGAGGTTTTACATTACTATAGTAGAAAGTTTTTTAAAATTTTGATAGAAGTTGCCTCCCTTGTTTTAAGACTAAGGGAATTCCACTTTCTAACAGTATCGGGAATAAATGATTTATTATATAGTTCTAATATGTATTTTTGCAAAGAATAATTTAAAGAATTCCGGGTAGTGTATCCTGAAATATTGCCTCTTGTATCAGGTGCTAAGTTTTGTAAATAATTAGGTACTAAATTATTGTGCATTTTATACATAGTTATTAGTTTTGCTCTATTTCTTCTATATTCCAATGGTTCCCAACCTGTTTCCAAATGTAATGAATGTAAAACAAAAAAAAAGAGTGTATTTTAGTAATGTTGATAATTTGACATTTCAGTGGTTCGGCTTCAGTTCCTGGCAATAGAGATAGCTAGAAACCGTGAAGGATATAATTCATCATTACGATTTAACAAGAAAGACAACTCTGATCAGAAGACGTAGCACATGGCCCATTCTTACCATTTTAAAATTCATATCAAAGAGAGCTTGGGCCTAAATTGACTGTGGATAAAACATATACTGCTGGTTGATATATCTACATTGCATTTCATTACTTCATATTGGTTAGATTTACAAACGTGATGTTGTACAGATATGGAATATTGAATCAACATGACATCAAAATGGGATGTACATTGTTCATGTACAATGTATGTTTATATTGCAAATACAGTATTTATTTTAATGCAATAAGTATTTTGATACCCCGGTTACCCATCAACTGGTTAATTTCTTTCCATAATCCTTTCAAAGCTAGAACACCTTATCTTATCCTCCTTCAATGAGTAAAAAGTCTGTAAAACAGTTTGTCGTGTGTTGCCACCTTTGTGACGTTTAATAATTTGTTTGAAATTCTCAAAAGTATTATTAATAATGACATATAATTTTTAGCAGACACAAGATATCAAGATGAGAAATAAAACCAATTTTGTAAAGGGAGATAATCCAAATTTACAGTAATTACCACTTAGATTTAACAGAAAAATCATGAAAATGGGTCTGAAAACGTTTGAAATTCTCAAAAGTATTATTAATAATGACATATAATTTTTAGCAGAAACAAGATATCAAGATGAGAAATAAAACCAATTTTGTAAAGGGAGATAATCCAAATTTACAGTAATTACCACTTAGATTTAACAGAAAAATCATGAAAATGGGTCTGAAAACGCTAAAACATAAATTTAAACAACAAACAAATGGCGGAGGCGGGGCGGCAGGAGGTAAATAACAAACTTTGAAACAACGTCCGTCCTCCAAGGATGTAGATGGGAGAAAAGGCAGAGTAACGCACCGCATGGTCAGAATTTCATTTGTTAGATTTTGATTGGTCAGATTTTGATTGGTCAATCTCTGCCTCTCCTACCACGGTAAGACATGGAACAAAATTAACATTACAAAGCACAGCTATACAGTATTTCAGACTTTCACATTCAAGGAGGACACTTATTGATTACAATAAAAATTTTTAAGTAAACTTAAATTTATTTATTTTAATGCAATAAGTATTTTGATACCCCGGTTACCCATCAACTGGTTAATTTCTTTCCATAATCCTTTCAAAGCTAGAACACCTTATCTTATCCTCCTTCAATGAGTAAAAAGTCTGTAAAACAGTTTGTCGTGTGTTGCCACCTTTGTGACGTTTAATAATTTGTTTGAAATTCTCAAAAGTATTATTAATAATGACATATAATTTTTAGCAGACACAAGATATCAAGATGAGAAATAAAACCAATTTTGTAAAGGGAGATAATCCAAATTTACAGTAATTACCACTTAGATTTAACAGAAAAATCATGAAAATGGGTCTGAAAACGCCACTGACTTGACCGAACTAGGGAAAGTTCAGACCCATAAAGGAAAAATAAATGGCAACACACCTCAAACATAAATCATACCAAAAGTGAGTAAAATTTACAAACATGGGAATAAACATATGTCCCGTAATGCAATAAAACAACAATTTGAATTCACAAGTGTCTTATGAGGGATAAACATATGCCCCCATCACAACCAATGAGTTTACTATTCCTAGTGTATTATGTCTGTGGGTCCCAAGTATTAACGAATCACTATGTAGAATGTCCGATAAGGGATAAACATATGCCCTTATAGTCGCAAATCATCATCTTATTCGCTGTTTTTTACTAAGTTCACATGTATGTACAGTATTTATGCACACTGTGTGTTTATATTACAAATGCATTACAATTTCTTCAAAAATCTTGTATGGGACATTTTTTATTTGATTTTTATTGTTTCAATTAGGAAAATTGTAGGGGGAAAAGTGGGGCATTGAGTTTATTATTATTCTAAAAGTGTTTTAAAATGTTTTAAATTTTTTTTACATGATGCACAATAAATTACTATAAAATTGCAATTGTTCTTGTTTTTTAAAATTATTTCATGCAGCATCAACTTTGATAATGTGGTTTGCAATAGATATTATTTACTTATCGGAGCTTAGTCATTTATAATTTTTTTTTTTTACAAATGCCAAATAAATGTGCTGATCAAGGAACACATTTGGATACTGCTGTCAAGTTTGCTGAGGAAAACAATATCATCTCTATAGTGTCGATTTTAAATATTCTCTTACCTATCCATTTTCCTTTTCTTAGGAAAGTTTTAGTACCATATGAATATATTTTTCTTAGTTAACAGGGAGAAAACAAAACTTCTAATTCTTGACTTTTTGTCAACTTAATAACGTTTTTGTTTAATTTCAAAACAATATACTGTGGTGTAACATATAGTTGTTCTCTAACAGTTTATCTTAGCTGCCTTCTACCGAAACTTTACTAATTCTCAACTTTTTTCAGAACCAAATGTTTAATGACTTGACTTCTATTTGGCTTCATACAGCTGAGATACGAGATATCAGCAGAATTTTTGATCCCATTTATTCCTTCTTTTATAAAATTACAGATTTCTTAAATTGTATTTGAGGCTGTGCTAAAAATGCTTTTGAAATGAAAATGACAAAATTCTTGACAATATAATGCATTGATGTAGTGAAAATTTTGACAATTTATATAAAAATGGATCGTTTTCCAGCCAAAAGTCTACGTAGTTTCCAAGAAAAAAAATAAAAAGGCTTTCTCTTGTTAAGAATTTTAAAGGGGGAAATAATGCAATGAATTAGATATTTAAGTCATTATTTTTCATGAAATGGTAAGGTCTTTGATAGCAAGCAATACTTGTACATAGAAATTGATTCGTATATGTACGAAGAAATCTTCAAACAAACAACAGGGCTATACAATTTGTCATAATTGATAGACAATTCATGTAGAAATGTTCATTGCCAGCCTTATATGGATTTTGCTCAAGACCTATGCTTTCTGGATGAGTGGACAGGTAAACATTTTTGGAGCAAATTCATTTCTTCTTAATCTTTCTTGAAACATAACTTGAAAGGAGGATATGGAGACAACGAACAGCATTCAATATCAAAGTGTATAAAACAATACAAAATAGGAGCAGAGCAAACACGGACCTCCAAAACATCCCAGGTGGGATCAGGTGCCATGGAGGAGTGAGCATCCCCTGCTGACCAGTCACACCCGCCGTGTGCTTCTTGTCATGATCGGGAAATAACGGAAAAATCCGTTGTCAATTCAGTGTCTAAATAATGGACTAACAATTAGTATGAAAAACGTCAATCAGTATTTGACTCAATGATAAATTGTATTTGCTGACAAGGTCATTGTATCGACGATAGAACTTACGAAATGATGACTTTAAACGAGACTGCTGATATTTTTGTTTCGTCAACTTGCTTGCAATTATTTACCTCGTTTTAGAAATTGCTCATACGGAGAGCATGCTTTTGCGTATCGAATCAACTGTGATATATATACTCCGTATGCAGGTAATGAAGGTATATTGCTGCATAAGTAAGGGGAGTTGACGATAGAAAAGTTAAAGTCATCACGTTTATCATATAGTTTGGTTGTTAGACTACCATTAACATCTTTTTCAAGTAAAATATCCTCTGTAGTATCTTTTATCTCAAGCTCCCCAGGATATATCGTATTGACGTAGGAATGGAAATTACATGTACTATTGTTAATTGACAATACGTTGATATACGTAAATGTCGAGTTGAAGGCCACAGCAAGTGTTTTCTTCTTTTCAAGATTTTGCACAAATTCTGCTTCATATGAATATTAAAATAGATCTGCTAATAACGGAGCGCAATTTGTACCCATGGGAATTCCAATAGATTGTTGGAATACCTGGTCTGCGAAAACCACATAGGTATTGCCAATCAGAAATTCAAGCATCTCTTTGATGTCAACTTCAGAGTACTTGTGTGTGTAATCAGAATGTTTTCTAACAAAATAATTTTGCAAATGACCAATGACCAGGTTAGTATAGTTATATTCCAAATCTATATTCCAAACTTTTACTCTGGCCGCAACTTTTAAACGGTAGATCTACTAAGACCATTTAAAATATAAGAAATATGAATGTATTATAGATTGTTCAAATAACCCCTCCGCAAATCTCCCTTCTGGTGTAGGGTCGGGATTATATATTGAGATATCAATATAAATATCGATTCTGTATGAGGATGATACACATATTGATATATATGAAGAAATATCAAAATATCTCAAATATTTTTTCCCTTAGTTTACATAAAATTTTTGATTAAATAAATCATATAGAATACATATGCTATAATATAACAGTAAGATATGGAATGAATGAAATATATGGAGAGAACGAACAGTATTCTAGCTCAAAAGTCCATAAATCAAAACAAAACACGGACCTCAAAACATTGAAGGTGGGATCAGTTGACATGAAGGACTGAGCATCTCCTGCCGACCAGTCACACCCTGTGCTCCTTGCTATGATCAGGAAATAATGGAAAAATCCATCGTTGATTCAGTGTGTAAATTATGGACGAACCATAAACATGATTAACCCGCTTCCCTGCATTAACACAGATACCATTTCCTATTTTTAACGCAAAATCAGGCATATACCGTTTCCCTGCAATCGCTCATTTTCACGCACTTTGAAAAGTTCATTTAATCTTCAATTTAATGTCAATTTCCTTCTATTTATACTTACTAAGATCTCATGAAAGAAAAATTATTTTCTTATTAAAATTTTACGTCATAATATTATTGACCCTAAACTTTAGAGAAACGTGTACCAGGTGCTTCCGGGGAAATTGCTACGCCATATTTCTATGACCTTAACATTAAGTTTATGTTGCATAACAGTTCAGTAAGTTGTAAATAGTTAATATGAAAAATGTCATTCATCATTTATACATCATTCCATCAGTATTCTGGTGCTTAGTTAGTTAGTTATATTACAATTTTCTAAACAAGATAATAATTTCAGCAGGTTCGCCCAAATGGAGGAAATCTGCTGATGAAGTACAGAAGGACAGTATAGACATGGGTGAACATTGTTTCTTAGTAATAGGATACATACACATACATATAGGGAAAAAACCTTCTGCTGAAGAACAGCAGAATCATAGTGACTCAGGTGAGTGTTGTGGCCCATGGACCTCTTGAAAATACACGATGTCATTTTTTCTTGTTGCTTTTAAGGGTATTACTTGGAAGTACATACCGGGTAGTTAAGTGGCATTATTCTCCATGATTCCAATTGGGTGATAATTACCCCTTTAACCTCAATAAAAATGCATTCCTCAGAACTAATGCATGAAACAATAGTTACGTTTTAAAAATTTACTTTTGTGACAGATGAATAAACCTAGTTTAAAGCTACCTCTTTCTATTATGATTTGATTAGGTACTCGTGTTTGTTTACTGTGCATAGCATGTAATATGATATAAGTCCAAATCACTTTACAGTGCATATCTACCTTACTTTTACCTCAAATTTAGGTAGTAGCTAAGCAACATTCAACAAACATGGCGGCTAGAAATCCCAAATATCCACCGGGATCTCCTCATGAATAATATGATTAAGAAAAATAAAAACTTGAATGAAGTGAAATCTGAGCTAAAAAAAAAGGAGAAAGAAATAGAAGAGATTATAAAGTTTATTGAGGATAACAACAGCACCATGTCAGATTACAACCTCATTGACAACCACAGAGAACTGTCGAAAAATCTGTCTGGTCAGGATGTTGAAATAAAGAACTGTAAACATTCAGTGAGATACAGAAAAAGAGAAATCAGTGATGAGGTGTTGGAGAATATGATAGGAAAAACTCAGGATTTAGACAAAATCAGTTTGACTGAAACAAACTCATTTAAATATGAAGGTAAATTAATAATGATAGTGAGAGCAATCTGTGAAGATCATTGTTACATAGGAGATATAGAGTCATTTTATATTGAACATGTAAACAACAGAGGTGAGAAAAAACATAAAAGTAATATCTGTCCTAATGACATGTGTGTGACTGATACTGATGATGTTTATTTTACTGACTTTGATAACAAAACCATCAGATGTCTGTTATCATCAGGATCTGTTTCTACAGTTATCAGTACAGATCCACTGTTACCAATAGGAATCTGTCAGTCGGTGGACGGTGGACTATTAGTCACCTTGAAAGACCTGGAATCAAATGATTATAAATTAGAGCGACACAACAGACGTCTGGTGAGACACATCACAGTGACAGGTGATGTCATCCATGAGTATGAATACCAGGAGGACGGTCAGACAAGACTGTTCACAGTGCCACTCAGAGTCATACAGAACAGGAATGGTGATATCTGTGTTGTGAACCTTACAAGTGACCATACAGGTGAACTAGTGATTATGTCTCCCTCTGGTCGTATCAAGTCTATCTACCGTGGACAGAACCTGACAAAGGACTTTAAACCAATTGATGTAGCGTGTGACACCGTCTGTAACATTCTTGCTACTGACTTTAACAGCAAACAGATCCATCTTTTGAGTCCTGACGGAGAGTTCTTAAAGTTCTTACTGACAGAGAATGAAGTGAACTATCCATTCAGATTATCGCTATATAACTCTACATTGTGGGTGGGATATAAGGGAGGACTTGTCAAAGTTTTTCAGTATATACTGCTATGTGCTTGAATTGTGATTAACCCCTTCACTTCCGTATCGGTCAATTTGACCGGTGACGCGTTAAAACACGACTTCGCGAAAATAAGATCTTCGTATCTATTTCATGGTAGCATAAAGGAATATAAACTTTATATCATCTTTTTGGAAATTTTCTGTACATTTAATTTATATAAAAAGTTTGTCTTAATAGAGAAACGAACGTAACTCGCCCTAACTTCCCGTATCTCGATAGTTTTCTCGGGACCAGTGATTGCACCCATATAAAGTTTGAAATCGGAAGAAATTAGTATATGTGTAAAATAAAATGAATAGTGCTTTAACCACTTTGTAATTGAAAATTAATCAAGTCAAATTTATTGTAATTACTTAATTATAATGTTTTAAAAAAAAGCGAACAAATAGAAGAAAATACACCACAATACTTTAGACGGATTAGGAATACGTTCAACTGTAAACATTGAACGTTTAGCCAAGGGTTATTTTTGTGTTGTTATAACTTAAACATAGAAGAAATTGTTTTCACACAACAAACCGGAAATTGTTGTACTATTGATTTTTAAAAATATTTCTTGAAAAATGAATATAATTTATTTGTCAGATGCATGTTTTTAATGTTAAATTGATCATACTCAGAGCATGCTTTTATTAATTGCCAATGGGAAACATCGTCATATGGAGTATGCAAGTCGAAATCTAAATTTCGATTAAGGTTGCAAAATTCTTGTTCAATATATAATGTACTCTACTATGCATTAAATGATATTTGGTATACAGGGTTTTATACCTTATGTTATTTTCGAAATTTGTAATTGCGCTACATACTGTTGTCTTTGAATTCGCCCCGTTTTTTAAATTCTCTCAATCAGGAAGAGGCCGAAAGAGGCGAAGAATAAAGTGGGGGCAAAAATATTCCTATATATAGTATCCTAGTGAACTTGAAGTAAAAAAAAAAACATAGAGTCTGACACATTTGTTTCATATTGGATGTATCACTAGAAAGGACTAATGAAAGCCTTACAACAAAACTTTATGATGAACGTGATGACTTCAACTTTTCAATCGTCAGCCTCCCTTATGTAGCAATATGTAATTACCCTTATCAGCTACTTATTGAGTTTGATTCGGTTGATTCGATAAGGAAGAACATGTCCTACGTATGTAACATTTCTAAAACGAGGCAGGTTAATAAGCAAGGATATCAAATTCTCGTTTGAAATTTTTTCGCAAGTTTCATGGTCTATATGACCTTGTCATCAAATTCAACCTTTCATTATGTCAAATGCTGAGGGGCCTTTTTCTATAATTGGTAAACCACTGTTACACGAATAGTGAACGGATGTTTCTGCTTTCCCGTTATGAGAATTGAGGGTGTGATCGATCGGCAGGGAATGCTCACTACTCCATGGCACCCGATCCCACCTCTGATGTTTTTTTATGTCCTTGACTGCATTATATGCATATTGATATGCATTATTTACATGAGCACTGAGTATGAGTTCTATTCGTTATATCCATAGTTAAGAAACAAAACCAAAACTGCGTTTCCTCCAAACTACATACAAATAAAGTGCATATATTAGTGGTCTCCATTTTGTTTATCTTGCATTTGGTATATATCTAAATATTCATATTACGAAAATTGAATTTTTTTTTTTTTACTACCGATAACATCGGATATAACTGTAGTACCAAATTTAGGCAACCATATTTCAATAGAGCTGCAAATGACAATGTTAGAGTTTGAAACTATTAGCATTCAAAAATAGACACTGCAGTATACATTTTTAAGTCTCAAATGGTTGTAACATGTACCCGAACATTAAGCCATAAAAAAAGATGTAACTGTCAATGTAACTTTAAGATCATATTAAACTATAATTCACACATCATCTTTGCAAGGTTATTAAGGTTGGTCTAAGTCACTCCCACACAAATCCTTGACAGATAATGCAACTACAATGTATTAATTTGAGTGACATATGTACCATACTCTGTGCATACTAAACTCTCACTCTGGATTCTATAACAAATCAATTGAATTTTTTCATAATTAAAAGTCCACCGTCCATTCTTAACATTAAATGGAGTTCTACACAAATGTGCACAAAGAACTGGAGGAAGTAATAAATTCAGTTTATTAACCAAAGAGATAATAGATAATCATAGAAAAGCAAATTAATATATGAGTGTACGTATTTGACTGTCTTTTTGTCAATTACCCTGTATGTACGGGCTAGGTTGTTCGAAAAGTCCGTGGACAACTGTCATGACTTTTTTTTACTAAACGTAATATCGTATCCAAATTTTGGTAGATATGTTTAAACAATAAATTCAAATGAAATACATTAAGAAATTTTAAAATATTGTGATATATTTCAAACTTATTTGATATCTAAAATGACGAAAATCAAGGAGTGCGTCAAAATTTCCTTGTATACGATATATATGCAATAAATAATTAAAGTATGTAGTCATATCCTCTCTATTTTGAGGGGGAAAAAAGGAAATCCTAGAACTTCAGAAGCAAGGCAGTATTCCTTGAAAATGGAAAAAGAGACGACGTCGTAGAATGTTATGGAGCACCAGCTAAAAACATGTTGTACTCTGGAAAACTGCAGAAAATTCTCAAAATGCCCGAGGAAACACACATACCATATTGGCTTTATATCAGACAAGACAATGTTACGGATTATCTGTCTGGAATAAATGTGATAAAAAAATTCAAATCCTTAGAATGGCCATGGTAAGAGTTCCACAGCTGCTGATCTAGTGCAAGAACATTTACACAGCAAAGCAAATCGATAAACAAAACTATATAATACTGAATCAATTGTTAGTAAAATAAATTTCAAACGATATTTAATCGTTTTTAATTAGTACTTTTGTAATTTGCTATATAGTATAAAATCTACGGGGTGACTATTTTTGAGAACTCCTTACGGCATGTTTCTGACATTAAACTGTTGTTGAGTTTGCTCCATGGGCACAAATTGTATTGATTTTAAAATTAGATAACATGAGTTTTATTAAAGCACATAAAATAACACCACTTTTTTCCATATTACAGTGTGCATGCTCATTTTCAATATCTCGAAGATCGTTAAAACGAAGATTGACATCATCTTCGAACTTTCCAAGCACGACCCTCGTAATTCAACATGAATTCTTTTCATTGATTCCAAGAGTCTAGTTTGGGCGCACACAGTTCTATCAGAAGAATCTCCCAAGAGTTTTCTGGAAGGAAAGGGAACTGAAAAACTTTGCGTAAATACCTTTTATTACTTACTTGGCTTGCAAAAATGCATACCACGGAACAAAGGCGCAAAATAGTAGATGTTTTCATTATTGAATTTAGTTACAAATGAATACACCTTGTTTTAAAAATCTCTTTTTAAATATTTAAAGTCCAGTGCATCTCACAGTATATAGCTACCTAACGTTTCGGAGACATTCGACAAACATGGCCGCCAGTAAGCCAAAATATCCACTCGGCTCTCCTCAAGAGCATATTGAAATGTGTGAAACCCATGATTTACCTATTGATGTGATATGTGAGGATTGTGATGAATTTAATTGTAGTAAGTGCACCAAAACAGACCATAGAGATCACGAATGGAGCACTATACCCAAAGCTGCCATCCAAATGAGAAGAAACTTGATTACTTTCTTGACAAAGATCAAGGAAGAGGATCTACCTGGGATTGATGAGAAGGTAGAAAAGGTGTCAAAACAAATCATAGAAAATAATGGCATGTGTGATACTAAGATTAAAAAGCTTCAGAAGCATGCTGATGAGATAATGGCCAGGTTGACAGAAATCAGGAAACAAAATGAACGAAGATTGAGAGATAATTTGGACGCAAAAAATAAAAAGTTAAATAATGTGAAATCTGAGTTAGACAAAAAGAAGAAAAAAATAGAAGATATGGTAAAGTTTATGGATGATAACAAGAGTGTCATGTCGGATTACGGCTTGATTGACAACCACAGGGAATTGAAGCAATTGCTGGCTGGTCTGGATATTGATGTGAAGAACTTTAAACACTCAATGAGATACAGTAAAGGAGAAATCAGTAATAAGGTAATAGAGAATATGATAGGTAAAAATCTGGATTTAGATGATATCTGTTTGACTGAAACAAGTTCATTTAGATATGGAGGAAAAGTGATACTTTTATTGAGGGCATTGAATGAAGATCGATGTTACATAAGAGAAACAGGGTCACCTTACACCGAACAAGTAAACAAAGATGGTGAGAAAAAATATAAATATAATATCTCTTCTAATGACATGTGTGTGACTGATAACGGTGATGTTTACTTCACTGACGGTTTTAACAAGTCAATCAGCTCTCTGTCACCATCAGGATCTGTCTCTACAATCATCAGTACAGATCCTCTGCAACCAGTAGGAATTTGTCAGTCAGTGAACGGTGGGCTGTTGGTAAGCTTGAGAGATAAAAAGTCGGTTCGGGTTCCGTACAAATTAGAATCATATACCAGACGTCTTCTGAGACACATCACAGTGACAGGTGATGTCATCCATGAATATGAGTACCAGGAGGACGGTCAGACCAGACTTTTTACATTCCCAGTCAGAGTCATACAGAACAGTAACAGTGATATCTGTGTTACGAGCCGTACAAGTAACACTTCAGGTGATCTAATGATTTTGTCTCCCTCTGGTCGTGTGAAGTCTGTCTACCGTGGACAGAACCTGACAGAAGGCTTTTTTCCAACAGATGTAGTATGTGACCCCCTCTGTAACATCATTGTTACTGACTTTAGCAACAAACAGATCCATCTGCTGAGTCCTGATGGGGTGTTCTTAATGTTCTTTACTACAGACAGTGAAGTTAACTGTCCATTCAGATTATCACTATACAAGTCTACATTGTGGGTCGGATACTATGAATGTCTTGTCAAAGTGTTTCAGTACCCAGTGTAATATACCTGAATTGTGATTATTTCATCCATACGAAGTCGTGTAAAAATAACCGTGAAATGCTTCAGTGTGTGCAATGTAGTTTGAACTTGATTGTGTTTTCCCTGGAGTTCAAGGGTTCCAATACTTGTAAAGACTGTGTGCAACATTTTAATGTCTAAATGTGCTGTTGTACACTTATTTTGAAACAAGTTTGGATAAACAAAACACAGAATATACGCTTAGAACTGTTTGTATATTTAAGATATGAATAATTATCACACACATTATGCAGTTATGATACTATATATCTTTCAAAAGATAATGATTCATTGCTAAAATATTTACATTTTCAAACTTTCTACCTTAACTGCAAATGTCATTTCTATTTTTTTTTTTTAAAAACTATGTATTATCCTTCGTGTAAGCTACAGTTAGTGGATTAGCCAACGTAACAGCTTCTGGTCAATTTGAGCGTGACTTTTGTTTTGTTTGCTTGTGACGTTGCAGTACCTCGGCGTTTAACGATTATGACGTCAAAATAAAATGCTTTTTGGCACCCTGTCTGTGTTATGGTGTTTTAAATGCAATAAATTTCAATTTTCTTTACATGTAAAAAAACACATGTGATGTAAATATTTTTTTTTTTGAATTTCACAAGAATTTTCATCAATTGATGAATTAAGGATTTCTAGAAAATTTGTCAGTATGTCCTAAAAATCCTGTGTATATTCTGATATGTGGAATCTGCTTATTTTAATCAAGTGTTACTATTAACAATATACTAGTATAAAGCAAATTTTTTATATTTCAATGCATTTGTGTTTATAATTGTTTTAACATTTTTTGCTTAAAGCGTTGCTTAATATAATGTTTGATTGTTTCTTGTAGATATATCACTCTAAATTACATTTTACATTACATGTATTTTCCAAGATTTTACTGTAGTATTGTTCTGTTTAGGATTCCCTGTGGTTGTGGGTTAGAAGATCTTTTAATTTCTTCTTAGATTTTTAGATTAGAGTGAAGATTCTTATAGATTGCAAAATATCTCTGAAAAATTGTAACAAAAAATGACTTCTCTCTCTCTCTCTCTCTCTAAAAATTACGAAGAATGATTTTGTTATATGATTATTTAAATATTTTATAGATATAATACACATATCTAATTCAGTATTGAATTTTGTCATCAGACAATAACTTCCAATATCTTTGGATATAATTGCAGTGTTAGTGGAAAAATAAAGTGACATATATATGTATATTGTATAATACTTAGGAATGTAGCCATATGTGCCGTGTGCGTAATTATTTTTAATATTGACCATATCTCAAGAACCCCATGGCTATTTTTTGTTATATTTGTCACAGAGTGTTCTTGCCCCATGGGTTTTTATTTATGCCCCCTGATCCTACCTCTGACATTTTAGAAGTTTGATTTTTTTAATATTTGAGTTCGAATACTGTACGTTATCTCCATATATTTCATTTTTCTAAAACAAGATATGTGACCCTTATACAAGGGGAGATATTTAGAAAAAATAAAAACAAAGGTACTTGTTCCTAAAATAAAAAATTGAGCAAATTGTCACCAACCTTACACACACAAAAGAAG